ATCAGTGCAATAAGAAAAAAAATGATAAAAAATTATGAAAAATCAGTTAACAGCCATGGAAGGCCACTTGAGAGAATCCAACAGTCATCTAATGGAAATTCTTGAAGAAGAGAGTCTGAAGAATAAGGGAAAAGCAGTATTTGAGGAGAAAGTTTGACAATGACTTCTCAGAATTAAAGAAAGGCATAGATTTTCAGGTAGAAGTATACTCAGAGTACCAAACAGGGTAAATAGAAATAAATTTACACATATATATATCAAAGTGAAAAAAACCAGAACATTAAGATTAAAAAGCAATCTTGTATCCTATCAAAAAAAGATAAATCATAAAAAAAAATAATGGAAGACTTCTCATCAGCAACTATGTATGTCGGAAAAAATTTTAAAAATCTTCATGGTACAAAGGAAAGTCTTTCTCAAAGTAAAATTTATACCTAGCCAAACTATTATTCCAAAGAGAAGTCAAAATAGGGACATATAGAGATTAAGAGGATTGCCTATGGACTCTCACGGAACAGCTATTAAAGGATTTACTTTAATAAGGTCACACAGGAAATCTCGGGATAAAAGCAGGGGAACACAGAACTCCATAAGCTGCATAGGAGAAGTAAACTAGCTCATTGCTATTACTAAATATTGTTTTTCTTTTTTGCAAAAGTTTAACTTCTAAGTTTAACTTTAAATAATAACTAGGTGAAAAAAAATAACTAGGTGGTGGCAGGGCAGATTTCAATAAGGGTTAAAATATGTTTCCATATGGGTAACCCATTGTCTCAGCACCATTCAACAATAATGTATCATTTTCTTTCAGTTTATTTATTTGAGTAATCTCTCCCCCCAACATGGGTCTCCAACTCAGAACCCCGACACCACGAGTCACATGCTCTACTGACTGAGCCAGCCAGGTACTTCAGTAGTCCATCTTTTATTCTGCATATTACAAAGGCTAATTTTGTCAAAGGCTGTAGATTTTGTATGAAAATACATCATCAAATGTATATTCAAAGGGTAACCAGTTTAGGTTAGAAACAAAATAAACAGCGTCCAAATCTGTAGATGGGGCAGGGAGAAAGCAGGTAATATATAAAACATAATACCAAAAAGGTAGGACAAGGGGGGAAAAAAGGAAATGAATGGTAGACAGCACAAATATGGTGGTAGGTATTCATCCAAATATATTTATATTTATTATCATAAATACAATAGATTATAAATTCACCTGTTACAATACACGGATTATTAGATTTTATTTTTTAAAAAAAACAAGTAACAGTGTTTCCAAATGATTACCACAAAAGGGAAAGGGAAAAGGATGTCTCCTTAGTAATTATAAAGATAATACTAAAATTAAGATTTATTATAAAGACAGCATGGAGTTAATGCAGAATAAGTATGACAGACCAATAGAATAATACAGAGAGATCAGAAACAGATTCCGTATATAGGAAAATTGCTGTATGACAGACATGTAATTGCCAATAAGTGGGAGAAAGGATGTACTAGTTGTATGGTGCTGAGACAATGGGTTATTCATATGTAAACAAAAAATTAAATCCTTAAGTCATATTATGCACAAAGATCAGTGCTAAATGAGATAAAGACCCAAGTATGACACAAAACTTGACAATTCTTAGCAGTAAATACAGAAGAAAATGATATCCAGGTAGAGAAAGATTTCTTAAATAAGTCATAAGAGCAAAGCTCGTAAAGCAAGAGATTGATTAATTTAACCCCATTAAAGTTTCTTAATCTTCCATGTAAAAGTACATTATTAATTTTAAACACACACACACACAAGACATAGTCTGAAAGAAGATATTTTCAATGCATATAAATGACAAAGTATTGATATTCAGAATAATAAAGAACTATAAATCAATAAAAAGAAATGACAACCCAATGGAAAATGGAAAAAGGATACAAAAAGTCAGTTCCCCAAAGAAGAAAGCAAAGTGGTCAATAAACATATGAAAAGATACTCAACCTTATTGGTAGCCAGGGAAACAAATATTATAAAAATAATGGGATATCACTTCATGTTTATCATAATGATAGGTAAAATTTTGTAAGTCTGAGAATTTTAAGTACTGAGCATTCAAAGAAGCAGAAACCCTTATACTTTGCCGCTAGAAGTATATATTTGCTCAACTACCTTAGAAAACAATCGGCCATTATGTAGTAAATTTGAGGATGCACATAATCAATAATTCATCTCCTAACTATATGTCCTAGAGAAATTCTCACACTTTTATATAAGGATACATGCACAAAAATGCTCCTATTAGCATTTCTTACAATTACAAAAAAAACCAGAAATAGTGTAAATTAAGATCAATAAGATGGATGAATTGTGATATAATCGTATGTGGAATACTATATAGCAGTTAAAATGAATGAACTCGAGGTACATATATCTACCTGAATCAATCTCTACAATATGATAATGAGTAGGAGAAAAGTCATGGAATGCCATTTACAGTTTGACATCACTTAGAGGAATTTGTAAAAGAATACCAGTTATACCTGTTTTATTTTTGTATATGGAGGTATTGAAAAAACTCATTTATTATAGTGGTTATTTATAGGGTGAAGGGAGAAAGTTGCAATCAGGTGAGAGTATAGAAAAGTCTCAACTATATAAATTTAAATAGGGGCTCTCTGGCATAGACGGCTCAGTGTTGGTATGATAAAGCCAAGGTGTTTGGTGGGGAGGAGGCAATAAAAGGCTGTACATATTACTTCTTCTCTTTTCTGTATATTCCAAATTATTCCCCACAAACAAAATAAGAAAAGAAGATAATACAGATTATTAAGGCTTCCAAATTCCCAATGAATGTTTCTGAAAGCTCTTAGTCTATGAGGAGTGGCAACATCAGACTGCAGCTCTATGTTGAGGGTGGTCTGGTGAGGAGCACAGACAAGCTAGGACCTCCCACCGGCAGTCCCAGAGAGGGTGTGAGCCCCCTGACAGCTACTGCAACTTCTGAAGACAGGGAATAGGGAGGACTTTAAAAGTGAGCAGCAGTCAATAACAATAAAGGAATGTGGTTTTGACATGGAATAGAGTTATCTGGATAATACACGGTCTAATGGTGCTTCCTCACCTTTCCATATCATGGCACAAATGGATATCTGTTTGGCACACTGGAGTGAGGCTATCACCTTGGGGGCTCCAGCTGCCCAGGTCCTACCTGGGTCCCTGAGAGATAAGTGGATCAATAGTACACAAGAGCGCATCTCACAATATCACACAAAGGCAGCCAACTTGCAGTATACCAGTGCGCCACAACACACCTTCTGAGAAGCTTTGACCCAAGAGATATATTTTTTTTCATATCTAAAAGTAGGTAAAATTACAAACCATTCCAAACTCTGGCAGCGCTTAGCATTTTACGGTTCCACAGCTCTCCAAAAGGAGTACACTCAGAGTCACAATTACTCTGCTTGAATTTGTGCAGCAGCAATTAGGAACAGAAAGAGCTAGTACAAAAGAACAGCCAACAGGGTCCGAAGACATATGGAGAACTCCCTCCAATTCATACACCAGCATCATATCAGGATGTGATCAAACGAGACTGGAATGTGGAAGCAGGCAATCTAGGTAGTGTATGTGGAGTACACCATTATAGAGGGCAGAAACCAAACAGGACAGGACGAAGAAAGTCCTTCACCAACACCTTAGTGGGGAGGGACTGGTAGGTCACACCAGTGGGCCATTCTAGTTATGTTAGCCCATGACCTAGAATTTCTACATATGTTACTCACACATATATTAAACATAGCTCATCTATAGAACCGATTAAACATTTTTCAAACCACTTCATCTCTGTTCTCCTAAAGTCTCAAGTTCACCAAGCTCTATCAGGTGGAAACACAGTAAGGTCACTGAACTGGGTAGATCCAACTTACATTTGTAGTCACTGTTTCATACCTCAGTGACTGAGACCAGATAACTAGTGTTTGTGCTAAGAAAGTGCCTGCAGAGGGCAATTTCTCAACCTCTTTGTAAGTGAGCCACCTGACACCCAGATACAGCATGGCAAGCTTGGTAAAAGGCAGAGATAACGTGGTACAAGCCATACTGGATGCCAAAATATTGAAATGGCCTCCATATTTTATCAGTAATTAGCCACTCCTAGAGCCCCCGACCATTCCATGTGACCACACTGTCACACTTGCCCCTCTCCCAGGATGCCATCTTCCCATAGTCCAGGAACCAAAGTGCTAATGCCTAGCACAGCAGGGCGTCACCAGGGCTGTTAAATATTTTGAATGGACGAAGATGACCCATCACACCCATTCTTGAATGCTCACTTCCCTGCTAGCATCATCTCTCTTGGCTCCCAAGACAAAATAGCATCTCTTGTTGGCTGGTTTTGCCTCAAGTTCTCAAACCAAAATAAAATACCTCTCTGGCAACACTAAACTACTCAACCAGGCTTAGAGGCTAGATGCCAGGCTTAGGAGGAAGAAAGGACCTTTTAATCGCATGGCCACAGCTTTGTTGGGGAACTTGACCTTCCCCTCAAGTGTGAGACAAGAGATGTTCTGACCCTCAGCACAAAAGGCCAAACCTGGTCACTTTCCCAGACAACTCCCTCCTCATGAGCCATCCTTCCTCCATCCCATGCCCCCTGCCAGGCAGTTTCCCTGTTCCCCATTATTTCAAAACTTATTTCACATGAGACCAGGACACTTCTTTGACAATTGAGTTCACTGAGTGATCTGGGGAGAACTTGCCCCTGGAATATGCAGCAACACCACAGTATCATCCCTGTCATCTGCAGAGTCAAGAGGACGTAGCACAGAGCTGGGAGCGAGGGAACAAAACAACTGCCCGTGGGGCAGAGGATGGAGGGAGAAGGGTTATTCATGGCACCAAGAGTTGGTTCATCCAGGGACTCAAAGGAGGAGGGCAGGAATTGCATTTGGTAAGGCCACCAGGCATCACTCTGGGAAACAAGGGAAAAAGCCAAAGCAGCACGGCCGCACCTACTCACCGGGGCTGGTTATTGTCAGGAGGTCAAGCTGCCGCTGTTGCTGCAAAAGAAAACATAGTGTGAGATCACTGAATTGAGCCAGAGCCAAACTGTGCTTAGCAGCTCAAGGGGGGAAATGCAAAAGAGATGTTCCGACACACAGAGCAGGGTATAAGGTGGAGAATATGGTGCTCACTCACAATTCTGCATGGAGGCACTGCACCCAGAGACAAAGGGAATGGATGGCCTTTTTGTTCAACCCGAGATGGTCAGAAGTGAGAGGTCTTAGAGGTCTTCCAGTCAAACCTTTACTAAGGGAAAGGCCATGGGCTCATTCCTCTGTACCCGTGGCCTTTGCTCACACTGGCTGTGCTGGTTAAGTGTCTCATATCCTGGCAATCCTCTTTGCCTTGGGTCCTCATGTCACTGCCACCCTCCTTATATTCCTTTGTAACCAAGGTACTCCTGGGCGGGTTTATTTTTTTAATTTACTCAGCAATGCTATGACAATTTTAATTACTGATGATCAAACCATTCCTTCTCTAATTGAATCCTTATCTCCTTGTACCATACGACAATCACAGCAAATATCTGTCTGGCACACTGGGCCATATGGATGAGGCTGCTTATGCTTGAAGGCCTCTAGCACTTGCTGATCCAAGGGCTGAGGAGATCAATATCTCAGTGGGCTTGCCCCACATCACAGCATACCTACAGGGAGGCTCTGTCCCGAACTGGATGTTATGGGAACCATGAAGACGGAGAAGTGGGTATTGGAGGCTGGGGGTGGGGCAGTGAGCAACTCTCTGAGAGATTTAAGTCAGGATTTCTTAAGCCTCAGAGGACTTCTTTCTCTTTTCTACACTTGATTTTCCATAAGCAGTTCTGGAAACCTGTATTTTTTTTTTTTCTCAAGAGGGGACCAAGCAAACTCCACTTTGAGAATCACTGCTCTAGGCTACACACTGTAGGAGCTTCTGATTATCCAATATTTCTTCTAATGGATTCTTTGCCATATTTCACCTTATCTGCATTTTCTGCTCTATCCTGCCTCTCTCCAAGAATGGACAATAGTTTCCTGAAATCCTGCTTAAACAGAAATGGGAAGGCAGAAACACTTTTTGAGTAACAACTATAGGCCAGACAGGGTACCAGGGGCTTTAATGTAACATTTCTTTTCATACTCTCGGCAATAGGGCGAGGTTGGTATTGCATGAGGTTCAGAGAGGAAAATTATCTGCCTGAGACCACATCTTCATTAAATGGCAGGGCCAGGATTAGAACTCAGTCAGTTCTGATGGTGGCTTGAAAGTCGAAAATATAATGATATGCATAAATCATTATGATGGTGTCTGATACTTAACAGAAGCTCAGTAAAAAGATCTTCAGTATTGTGTTGGTGGTGTTGGTATCACTATCGTCCATGTAACCCTTGGTTTATATAAGCTATTTCTTCCTTTTTCATAGAATTATGGACACTTGGGGGGAACCTGGGTGGTTCAGTCAGTTAAGGGCCTGACTCTTGATTTTGGCTCAGGTCATGATCTCAGGGTCCTGGGATGGAGCTGCGTGTTGGGTTCCATGCTCAGCAGGGAGTCTGCCCTAGATTCTCTCTCTCCCTCTCCTTCCCCGCCCCCACTCACATGCGCACACTCTCTCTCTCTGTCTAAAATAAAAATCTTAAAGAAAAAATAATTATGGATAATTGGAGCTCAAAGGTCATTGAGTTTGACCTCCTATCAGGATAGGAATCCCCTCTGCAATGACTCCACCAAGTTGTATGAACTGCTTTTTTCATCCCTTTTCTTGATGAGAAACTCCCTATTTCTTATCAGTTGGTTAGCAGGACTTTGAGCGGGGTTAAAAGCAGCTTCCCTGTGACATCATCACTGTTTCTAGTTGCCTCGGCCCACAACAACAGTTTGGGCATCTGCACATCTGTGTCTTCTCTCCAGGCTAAATATGCCCAGTTCCTATGTCCTTTCCTCATAAGACCTGGTCTCAAATCTCCTTGCCCTCATGTATTCTTCCTCCTCTAACTCTGATCTGTGCCGGTCAAAACCTTTTTAAGATTTCCGCTACCCCTTACTTCAATGACTTCTCATGAGCCTAAAAGCAGATCTGTATCCCTTCAGACTTCTCAGTCAACATCAGTGTTTTCCTGCCAGTTCCTAACTCATTCCAGTTGACATTTTCAAGCAAACAATGCAACTCCAATATGTCACTGACCTACATTGTGAACACACATCCTCACTCTGAAAAGAAACACCCCCACCCACAAGCTAGAAGGAATGCTGGAGCCAGACCGCCTTCCCTCCCAAACACAGAACCAGGCCAGTAGCATGACTGGCTCAAGCTGCCTTTGCCAAGGCCAACCTGTGTGACTCCGCGCTTCTCTCATGCATGAGGAAAGAATACAGCGTGTCTCACTATTGTTCCATGAGCCTGACTTTGTGATGACTGGTTGGTGAAAGAAGTTTATTTATGTGAAAAAAGTCTATGTCCTAATTAAGTGCTATCTCTAAATGGTGACTCTGTGTCCAGACTCCAGTGGAGAAAAAAAAAAAGAGAGAAGAAACCTGACAGGAGGCAGACAGACATGGGCTGGTGTCTTGGCTTCTCTGTGGAGTGTGGACAGCTTACTGTATGTCTCTGGCCTCAAACTTCACACCCACAGAATGAGGCAGTGAAATACCTTTAGGGATAGGGAGTCCAATGCAACCAGGTACGTGCGCGTGGGCTCCCTCTTCTGGTACACACCGATCCCTGAGAATCCCTGTAGACCACGCGGGGGCTCAAAGGACAGAGTCCGAATGCAGAAGGGACCACATTTTCGGCTCTCCTCTCACATTGCAGTTTTCAGGAGATGCGTGTCTTCCACACGGTTGGAAAGCATCTCAAGGGCCTGGACGGTGTATTATTCAGTCCATGGCATATGGTAGCCCTCAGGAAGCATTTGCTAAATTCAATGAAGCATTCCTGAGATCCACATCATCCTTTTAACCCTCCCACCCCATGCCTTTGCTCATGCTGTTCTCTCTGCCTAATCTTTCGTCATCTACTGCCTTCTTGGAGTTGCCCCCCGTCCCTCACTGCTCGAGACGCCCACGACGTCTTCTCTGCACACTGACTTCCAAACCTTCTGTCCTTTGAACAGTTCACGCTTTGTTCTTCTGATGCATCTTGCAAAGCCAACCTTTTGTATCACACCCTGTTTTAACTGTTTCTTCTGCTTCTCTCCTGAGGTCCTTACCCAGGGATAAGACTGGCATTTCATTCATTTCCAGCGCCAGCACAAAGGTCTGGAAGGAATGTTTGAGGTCATCTGGTTCAAATGATTCAACTGTTGTGTCGCTCTGCTGTGGCCCCATTAGGCAGGAATCAGTCAGCATGGAAAGCACCAAGCCCCTTCCGCTATAGAGGCCTCCCTCCGCCACGTCTTTAGGCTTTCTTGCCTTTATGATTTTGTTCCTGTCCTCTCCACAGCCAGCAGTACTGCTGTCCACCTCCCATAGGAGACCCTCCTTCTTTCCCCCCCACCCACAGGATCACTGTGTGTCTCGGACTCCAGCAGCTCCTGCTCGGTACCCCTCCCATGGTGGGGAAGTCAGTCTAACCGGGTGACAGGCCCACCGAACCTCCAGTGCACAGACATGTGTGTGCACCACCTAGTGGCCTAAGCACGGCCGTGTAGGCTATTGTTTAGACTGCAGCTCTTAAGGCAGGACTGCAAGATCTGCCTTTTCCGTGTGTAGGTGAGAATGAAAAAGCAAAAATAAAGATTCTTGCAAGAATCACTGTGCAATGAGTTTCCCTAAGCAATTGGAATATCCAAATAATTCTGTCAAAGTCCTTCAAAAATAAAAGGGACGGAGCGCAGGAGAATTTTTTCATCCCTCAGTAGTCGGCCTCTGTCATCATTTGGGACCGTCAACGAAAACGGTGCGACGTTTATAAGATTAGGGCGCATGACTTGCATGTAATGTACAGGCAGCTACGGAGACAGTGGGGTGCGCTGGGGTGAACGGCGACCAGATCGGAGTCAGCTGCTGACAGAGAGCGATGGGGGCCTGTCCTGTGGAGAGGAGACATGACCCACCTGCCTGGGTGGTGGGATACACGCGGCCTACATGGGTGTGCCAGCGGTGGCGTGTGCCTGTGTGTACCTGTGTGCACACGCCTGGGATTAAGGGGCGTTTGGGGAGAACGTTCCTTCTCAGGTGAAGGAATTCCTGCACATATCTCGGGGCCTCCTGAAGTGGGGGTACGCCAGGCGGGCCAGGCACGAGTTGACGGAGACCCTTGGCTGTGCATGGGCCCTGCACGCTGCCTTCCCTGGTAAAGGTGCTGCCCGACAGACATCCAGAGACACCCATTTCTGTGCTTGACCTCCACATGGTAAGCACCGAGTCACGACTGCATAAAGACCCTGGGCATGGGGGGTTCCCAGGGCAACAGGAACATTCTATGAGTTGGGTTCCAGCCAGGGTAGCCAGGTACCTAGAGTGGATGCTTGAGGAACTCTTGGCCAGCACACCTGCTCCGGGGGTTATCCTGACTCCCCCACGCAGTCAGGGGAAGCTCTTTTGTTAATGCGGTGTCACTCCAATTCCGGTCACAGATAACTGCTCCAAGGGTGAAAATACTGAAAAATGGGTCAGTTAGAAACCTTACCCAGGAATTTTGGATTTTTATGGGTTCAATTATTCTCAATGAAACCTACTGCTTTCTCAAGTTCAATGATCCATCTTTAAAAATTTTGTAATTATGAAAACAACACATGCTTATTTTTAATGATTTTCCAAATTCCCAGAAAACTGAGAAAGTAAAAATTAACAAAATACCACCACTGAGAGAGAGCCACAGTTAGCATTTTGGTGTACTTTCTTGTCATCTTTCTTGCTTGTGTTTAATTTAACGAGATCCTATTTATAATGAATGAAGTACTTTTTAATCTCGTGCAATTTTATATTTTTTGTCTCAGGCTGAGTCTTTGTTCTGACGTATGAGAATGCAAATCACATATATTTCTTGTCATAATGGATATGTTTGCTCTTAAAA